CGGAGGGAAGGTGACCTGGAAGGTACAACACCTGCATTCCAGGATCACCTCGCTTGTGACCGCCTGGGGCCTGCTTTGCCAACAACCCGGCGGGCTGTTACTCGGGCACCAATTCTCAGCAGGCACCGCACACCCTGTCCGCGCTCGCAGGAGCCTCACACGGCAAACACCTACGGGACGAGATCAGCGACCAGGCTGGGCTGCAGAGCCGGGGCTGCCCGGGCGCTCTGAGCCGTGTTCCCCCTCAGGGGGCTGGGCTGGGCTGGGCTGGGTCCGTGTGGGCTCACTCCGCTCCGCCCTCAGCCCCGGCCCCGTGTGAGGCGAGGGCGCGGCGGGGCCGGAGGAAGGGGTGGTGAGGGGGTCCCTGCCCTCCATCGGAGCGGCGAGTGCCCGGTGGGCACCGGGGCTGTTCGGAGGCCCCTCAGGCCGCCCCCGGCGCTGGGGAGGCGGCGGCATCATCATCATCATCACAATCATCATCATCACCACGACCACCATCACCTCCCGTCTGGCAGCCCCGGGCGTTGCCCCAGTGTGCAATCTCTTCGTGTGGCGCGGTGAAAGGGTTTTAGGAGTTATCCTTTGGCTGTCCTGCTTCCCGTAGCCCGGCGTTCAGGGAAGGAGAGAGGGAGGATGTCCTTGAAGCCCTTCACCTATCCGCTGCCTGAAACAAGGTTCCTGCACGCTGGCAGGGTCGTCTACAAATTTAAAATCCGCTACGGCAACTTCAGCAAGTAAGTGTGTCAAAGATGAGGCGTCAGTCTTCGGATTGGTGGGTTCATATGGGACCCTAAATTCAGATCTTTAGGGCTCCTCATTTCCTGCCTTTTTTCCCACTGGCCATTGAAAAGTTGCTGCTGATGGCTTCCACACGCTTAGAGGGTAATCCAAGCTGTAAAAAAACCCCACTCCTGTTTCATTGCCATGTGTGAATTTTTGTGCTTCGGTGGAAAAGAGGAGGTTTGTACAGGCGGTATTTGACTGTAAGGATTTAACTGAGAAACTCTAGAGCCTTTGTGGTGGTTTAAGCCCCACGTGGCTGCAGTGGAGTGAGGGAGACCACTGGAAAGGCAGAGGTAAAACCGGTGGGTTAAGATAAAGGCAGTTGAATAAGTAAAGCAAAAGATACACGTGCAGGCAAAGCAGAATAAAGGCTTGAGTTCGTTCACTGCTTCCCACGGGCAGGCAGGTGTTTAATCTCCTGGAAAGCAGGTCTTTCTTGTGGTCAGTGCAAAATGGTTACTTGGGAAGACATCTGCCGTGACGCCAAACTTCCCCCTGCCCTTTTCTGCTCTGTGTTTTGTTCCCGAGCGTGACATCCTCGGGTCTGGAATATCACTTGGGTCAGTTAGGGTCATCCCCCCCAATCCTTGTTCTCTCCCAACCTCATGTGCACCCTCAGCCTGCTTGCTGTGAGGAGCAGAAAAACCCTTGGTGCTAGGTGAGTACAGCTCAGTAGTAAGTAAAACATCTCTGTGTTAGCAACACAATTGTCTTCTATCCCAGTCAAAACCAGCACAGCCCCGGAGCTCCATATTCACTGTATGTTCTTACTTCCTGGGCTGTTTGCTGTCATCCTTGTGCCCTTTTGAAGAGGGAGAGGAGTTCTCATCTCTGACCATATTCTAGCTGGGGCCCCTCGGTGGGGAAGATGTGATCGTGCCTGCCTGCCAGACCATAAACCAGGGAATAGTTGTGTGCCTTGGATTCCTTGCACTCCACTTTATTTACTTACTTTCAAGTGACCTTTATGTGGTTTGCTTATTTTTTAACGAGTCTGGATTTTCTTTAAGGCCACCTCTTTTCTTGTGCATTAGATTGTTGGTGCTGTGAAGGGCATTCCTCTGTGGGTTTGCACAGGGGGGGATTAACACACGTCCTGCCAGTTCTTCCTTTTAGTCCCTTAAGCAGAATGGCACCACAATAGAGGAAGAAAACCTTTACAGAAAAACTGTAAAGATCTGATCTCTCATGCATTGTATCCACAGATACACAAAACACAAACGGGCAGAACGTTCACAAGGAACAATCCTTGTGGAATGGTGGATGTTTTTTAAGAATAATAGATTAACAATTAATCTGCCTGCTAAGTATTTTTTCCTGTGCAATGGGAACGATGATTTATTGCTGTTTACACTCTTATATCAAGTGTAGCTCTTGCTTTTTGATGGGATGGTTCCAACTCTGTTTGTTTCACAGCGCTCCCGATCTCAGTCTTGCTGAAAGTGCTGCCAAGGAGTCAGAGGTAGGAGCTGAGGCAGGTCCATAGGACCTTGGGTGGGTGTTAGGCTGAACAAATCTTATGTTTGTTATGGGACAGAGAACATTTTGTCAAATGCAACATCTCAAGGCCGAATAAAGAGGAACTTCTCTACAGAGTCTGAGGGTGAAAAAATTGACGTAAATTAAAAATGCCCTCAACAGGCAAAATTAGAGGAGTCACGCTTTTATTTCAAATATTGCAAAGAAGCTACTGACTGTTAAAACTGGACAAATGGAAACTACTGATTGTTGAGCTAGTTGCACCCTGTTCCTGTCTGATTCTTCTTCACAGTCATTCTTGCAGGAGCACATTTTTTTTCACAGATTCTGAAAATATGGAAAGGTATTAATAGAAAATCTTTCCTGTTAGTAGAGCAGGAATTTTTTGAGGCTTAATTGCAGTTCCCTTGTAACTGGTTTGGGTCAATAGTCAGCAAAAGGGGAATACTTTTGTTTTTGCACAAGTAAATGCTACAGGTGTTTTGCTGGGAAAAACCCCCACCACTTCTTAAATTTAAAACTTACTTAATTTGAAGGCATATCTTCACTCTCCATAGTGATTCTTCTATGTTGATTTAGGATTAAGATACTCCTTCGATTTCTATGAGTCTGTCAGTGCATGGTGCTCTAAGATGATCAGAGAGAGTGGAGAGAAGAAGTGGAGGAGGAAAAGCAGAGTATCTAGAAGCTGCTTTTCCGTGATTCATGCAAACAGCAAAGCTAATTTTTCCCAATCCTTCAAACTTTATTGTTGTTATGTTTTTAATATTGTTGCTTGTTTTTTGTTTTGTTTTGGTTTTTTTATTTGTTTGTTTTTTGGCCTCCCCAGGAAGTGATTCGAGTAATCCTTGGAAACCTTGATGACTTACATCCATTTTCTACAGACCACTTCACTGTCTTTCCCTGTATCCTTTCTTTGCTGTTCATGAAAGAGAAGATTCAATGACCTGTGTGTGTTGGGCGTTGCCTAATTCAACATTCACCTGCAGGAGTGTGCTCATCTTTAGCTGGAGTAGGACTCCTCCAAGCTTTGCTGTTTGACATTGGCTGAAGATCCTTCTCAGGTGTTGCCTTTCACCAGAGAACTGATGTGAAAAAAGTGTTTTGCAGTGTTTCCATTAGAACACCCCTGCATTCCAAATCAGATTTGGCCAGAGAAAATGCAGATGTGCCCAGAAATCCACCCTCCTGCCACTGTAGGCACAGCCAGTGCATTATTCCCAAAGGTTCATAAATGGTAAAACTCTTATTAATGGTTTTATACATAGGGTTGGAAGAGCCTGGCAGGTTGGGTTTTTCGCAGGAGGGTGTCAGGAGGGCAGCACAGTTAAGGGAACAGAACACCCAGTACAGGTGACTGGTGGGGCAGTGTCAGCTGGGGGGGTGTTTCTTCATAGGGTGATTTCTCGTGAAGCTCATGGTGGCAGGTTGGATGTGCTCCCTGGTGTACATGTGCAGCGTGATGTGGCTTATGAAGGCACTGTCGGGACTCCTGCTCCTTTGAAATGTTAGTGCTGTGTTTTCAAGCCTTATCATCGTCCTCAGATTTGAGTAAATGGGAGAGAGTGTCGAAGATGAAGTTCAAACATGACAATGTCCATCTTGTGCCTTATCCCTACATTTGCACGTTGTATCTAGAATTGAACTCATTTCAGCAAAATGTGGCTTGTGGTAAGTCACTGTTTGGGTAATTTCTGAAAATACCTGTGATCTGTGTCTTGCTTTTCCATTTCCCTTCACCTGCTTTGAATGAGAGAGAGCAAAACTGCGTGTGGCAGTGGTTTGAAACAGAGTCTAACAGTGTGTTCTCTGTTGTCCTGTGTTGCATTTCTAACGTTTCCTGAATTCCTCTTTGCCTTTTCAACCACTGCTGACTCTTCAGCAGGTATTTATTCTTATGAAGAATAAATAATAATAAATAATAATAGTCAATAATAATAAATTCTTAGGAAGCGATGCCCAGTGGCTCCCAACCTTCATTTTTTAATGTCAGTCACTGGGATGGAGCCATTACGTGGAGCCATTGAAAACATGTTTTTCTTCCTTGTGCTTGAATGCATTTGCTGACATCACACTCTTTGTTTCTAATTTCCTAAAGAAAGAATGGATTTGTTTTTCTAATTAATGATAGTAATGGTGGTAATAATGCCTTTTGTATAATTAGCAAATGTTGTCACCCTCAAAGTGTCTCATTTTCCAGGTTTTCTGTGAATTCCCTAAACAGCCTCAGGCCCCAGCTGTGGGACTCTACATTTAAATTCCCCTGTTGCAAAAACTGAGTGTTCTTTCTATTTCCTATTCTGATTATCAGGCCCTGAAAAAAGTTGCCATTTTTTCTTATGGCTGCATAGCAGGTAATCTGAACTCCTTTATAAATGACCAAGCAGTCATTTCTTAGTCTCACCCATTTGCACTCCCTGTCAAACACCCCACTCCCCGTGGAAAGGTCTGAACTGCTTTTGGCAGCAGATTATCTTGTTCCTGGAAGATGAGGTGCAATGCAAAAATACACTTTTCTGTTGGTTACAGAGAGTCCAGTCTAAATAATCACCAAGTTTTATACCTCTGTTTACAGGTAAAGAAGTAAACAGGGGCAGTGATGAGCTTGTAAGTTGTGCCTTTGTTTATGTTTGTTTTGGGGTTTTTTTGTTTTTTTAATTTGTATTCAAAGTATTCTGGAGAAACAGAATGTATGTATTTAGGCAATGCTACAATTCTTGTACTTCTAGGAGTTGGTCAGTGCAAACTGTCACTGAGTCTCACCTAGAGCCATCCAGCAGGAAGAGAAATCTTCCCCTCACTTCCAGTGGGGTTGGAATGCAGTCCTGCCATAAACAGCAGTTGTTAAGCTAATTTGGTAATTTTTGTGTAATGAGAGCTCAGGGTGGGTTTGTTTTCAGTATGGGTGAGTGTCTGGAGTGAATTAATGAAGGTGTCCTGTCCAAATTCCCCCTAAGAATGTCTCTGCTGTCTCTGCTAGCATTACATTCCTGCTACTTACATTCCTAGGCAGTTCCTCTGAAGGTGGAGCAAATAGGATGTCCTGGAATGCAGGATTTTGTTCAAAACTGTTGAGCATAATTCTCTGAATGGCCTCCCAGTGCTTATCTTAGTCCTGAACCCTTCTTCTGTTTTCATTCTATAAACAGGAATGACTTTGCAAAATACAAATGTATATTAACTTGGAGTTTTGTTCCAAAGCAGAGAAGTCAAAATCACTTGTTATCAATACCAAGTTTGCAATGTTTTGAAGGTCAGGAGAAGAAGTGAAATATCAGAAAGTACTGCAGTGGAAGAAGCAGCGAAGAGGAGGAGAGTGGAAGTTGGAGTGGAGAACTCATGCCCACAATTGTGTATGGACAGGTCAGTTGACTAACAAATCTCCCTGGACATATAACAATATTTTTAACGTCTCTTTTATGCCTCTAAATTTAATGTTTCTGATGTCTTCATGTTTCATTTCTGTGCAATCCTCTGCCCTGTTTTTCTTCTTCCTTCTCTACCATAAGTAACATAATCTCAGTGGCATTGCTCATACTGGTGGAAAAAAGTGTTCCTGTGCTTCCCAGCTTCCCATGCCATGGACCAGACCTCTGCCTGTTTAATTCCTCTGTGTTCACATAATCTTTTGAGTCACAGTGGGTTTAAGAGCTCAGCAGCCAGACAGATTGCATGTGTTGTGTCTGCACATGAGTATTCTCAGGCATCTTTCCCATTGGTTTCTTCGGTAGCTAAACTTGTCTTGGTGATGATTCCCGAGTAGATCTCTAATCCCTGGATTTCACAGAATGACTGAGGTTGGATGGCTCCTGTGATACCATTGAGTTCCACCTTTCTTGCTCAGGCAGGGTCACCCAGAGCAAGTTGCCCAGGACGTGTCCCCTCGGGTCATGAACGGACTCCAGCGGTGGAAACACCACAGCTGTGGACAGCCTATTGCAGTGCACGACCACAGTTCTAGTCAGAAAGCTTTTTCTTGTGCTCAGACTTAATTTCACATTTTGCATTTTGTGCCCTTTGCCTCTTGTCCTGCCAGAAGGTGCTGTGGAGGAGGGCCTGAACGAGTGCATATTTTCATTTTTTAAGGTTGACTTTGAAACATCAGTACAAATTAAAGGTATATATCTTGTTGGCTAGAGGTACTAAAGTCCTGCTTTCTAATGAAATACTTGGAGTAGCCATTTACAAGATTGATTCCTTTTTGTAAACTCAGTTCTTACTTGACTTATTTTTAGCACTGGAGCTGACTCTCTTCACCAGATGAATAAAGCAGAGCATGGATTTGAAAAGGTAAGTTAGAGAATATTCAGAAAGAAACAACAGCACCTGTTTAGTCCTTGTCCCTAACACCTGTGTCCTCCTGGCTGTCAGTCATCCTCCCAAATGTCCCTGGTATGTTAAAGTCTTCTAAATTAATTACAGCTTTATGTTATGAATGTCCTGAGGAGGGAGGTGTAAAAATATCTTCATCAAGAAAGTCCTCATAGTAGCAGAAAAAAAAACAAACCAAAAAACAAAAGAACAAGAGAGCAGACCTTGCCTTTTAGTACTTTTGGTACTTGCTTAGCAAGCAAGCAAACTGAAATCTCTGCACAATAGAATTTTGCATTGTGTAACAGTTCTTGGGTTCCTTTTTCTTTCAGAATTCTTCCAAAGCAAATGAGTGCAAGTTTAGCCCAGCGTCCCTTACTAAAGACTGTGAGTAAGGAATTCCTGGATTGTTCCATTCCGCTGGGTGTGCATGGAGCATGGAGTGAGTGAGGTTGTGGTTTTGCTCTTGCTGCTGTTCCTTACAGGGAAATGTGTGGAATCTGCCCTTGAACAAGGAACAGCAGCCAGTCAGGCTGAGGGTGCAGTGCAGCTGCTGCAGCAAATGGACCAAACAGGAAAGGAGGGAAATGGGAAGTCAGAAGGAAGAAGTCTCTCGGCATTCTGGAGAAGGTACTAATCCTGCAGCAGTGAGCAGATGCAGCCCTGGCTCTGTCTAAGCCTGTGCCAGGGGCTGATTCTGGCAGTTCAGGGGATTCTGCACAATTCTGGAAGATGGAGACCTCTTTTCTGTGGTTAAACCAAAGTCTCCAAGGGCAAAGAAACATTCGGGAATGTCCTTTTATATCGTGCTAGGGTGCAGCATTCCCAATAAGTATTTTAAGTCTAATGTGCTCTTTTTGTTGTTGTTTCCCCAGCATCATCATTTCGCCACTACAGCACCTTTTTGGTGGAAAGAACTGACCTGGTAGTACTAATTGTTGTGGAAAGGTAAATTTGTAGCATGATTGTTGGGTTGTGTTGTTTCTTCTGTAATGCAGTTTTTCACGTCGCTCGTCCCGGCTGTTAAAAGCTTTAAATTAAATTCTGCTTCATTTACATTTTCATAACGTTCTGAAGATGCTGGGTTAGAATGTCTTTTTCTTCACAACTTAAGAGTTTTTGGAAATAAAGTAAAAAAATGTTGAGGTTTGGATCCTTAAGCGCCATAAACTGTGAATTTAACATTTTGTGAGATTCTAATAAAGCAAACATCGGCTTGGAACTGTATGTTATTTTAATCAGACTTACCCAAGCAGGACACTTTTCTCCCTGCAAGAAGCAGCAGAGGTTTCTGGTAATAGATGGACTCCAGTGCTGTGCTTCACAGCATTAAAAAGTTCAAAATTCTGGAAAATATTTTGGATTCGATACACGACACTACAACTTGGGTTATTATTTATGCCTTCAATACTGATCCCAGCAGCCCTCGCAGAACCTATAGACATTATAGCCCCTCACAGCCCGTATAGCCCTCTCATCCCTCAACCCCCCTTACAGCCCTCAAAGCCCTTATTGCCCTCACTGGCCCCAGAGCTCTCACAGCCCCTCTAGCACCTTTTAGCACCCTTTAGCACCCTTTTAGCACCCTTTAGCACCCTTTTAGCCCCCATAGCCCTCACAGCTGGGACAGAAAGCTCGCTTGGACTTTGTCCCTTACATTTGGAAAGTTGTATTCACCCCACGATCAAGCGGCTGTCCTCTTCCCTCTACAGCCTGTAAACTGCAGTCTGCACATTCCTTTTCAGCTGAGAGAATCATCATGCCCTTTCAGGCCAAGGAGCTCTCACAAAGAAAAATGTGCCAGGACAGAAATGATTGCTGCATTACCCATTCTCCTCACAGCATTTCTACTAAAAGCATTCCTTTAAATTCCTGTGCACATTCCTTTAAAGCTGCATGAAATGCAGCAGATCCCGGTTTCAGACATTAAAACGTCCAGCAGATGGTCCCGTAAGAGAAAGGTCCGAGACCAGAAAAGCCCGCGTCCGTAAAAAACGTTCCTGCAAGTACAGCAAGTGCTGGCCTTCACCTTCCCTTCATCTGCAGCAGGTAAACTGTACCAAACACCCCAGTGATCCCTAGATTATCCCTTCTCCTCACAGCCTTTAAACCACACAGGACACGTTTCGTTTGAGAGCCGTGACCAAAGGCTGTCGCCTCTGGAGCGGTTTTCGGGCTGGTTTGTGTGCCCGGTGGAGCTGCCGAGCGGCGATGGTGGGGAAGGTCCACACGATGGCGCCGGATACTTGAAAAAGACGTAAATATATCGCGCTCTCCACCAAATGTGAAGATCCAAAGTTGAAAACTCGTCTCTGAGGCAAGCCTGGCTTCATCTTCTCTTTAACATGTTCTTCATTCCTCCTGATCGTCTTAAGGCCTTTCTCATCCTGGAGGTCTTATGCACAGTGCCACTCCACATTATGGCTTTTTGATTTATTCTCGTAATAGGAAGCCCAGGATAGACGGTACTCTAGATGTGCTGGGTGGAGGATAATAATCACTGACTACTTCCACAAGTGTGGTGTGATTATTTTTGTCTGATAGCTGTAAAAGTTAACCCAAGGTTCCTAAGTAGGTGGTTGGGTTAGGAGCATTAACAGATGTTCCTTGTGGGATGCTAATTTCACAGGCTGGAGGATATGATTCTTTGCTGCTGGTTTCCTCTGCTGATTTGGAGGATCTGCTGTCAGTACACAGATTGCAAAAGTTCTAATGGGAAGAGAGAAGCCACGTAGATCTTAGAAAGAAAACAAGAAACTAGCTGAGAGGTCTTATTCTGTCTTATTCTGCATTGCTTGTCTTCTTCCTGTGGTTCATTTCCCTTTTTGTTCCTTGCTGACTTACCCTGGGGACTTACAGTCCTTTGCTGTATCTGTCAGCAGCTGAGAAGAACAAACAAAGTCAGGTTCATTGAATCTTTGAGTGGCTTGTAAGTGAACCGTAGAATTGCAGAATGGTTTGGGTTGGAAGGGACCTTAAAGCTTATCTTGTTCCACTCCCTGCCATGGGCAGGGGCACCTTACAGCAGACCAGGTTGCTCCAAGCCCCGTCCAACCTGGCACTGGACATCCTCTCTGGACAGCCTGTTCCAGGACCTCACCACCCTCACAGTAAAGAATTTCTTCTTAATATCTGATCTAAATCTCCCCTCCTTTAGCTTAAGGCCACTTCCCTTTGTCCTGTCACTCCATGCCCCTGTGAAAAGACTCTCTTCAGCCTTCTTGTAAGCCCCTTTAGGCACTGGATGGGGCTCTAAGGTTTTCCTGGAGCTTTCTCTTCTCCAGGATGAAAAGCCACAACTCTCTCACCCTGTATGGAAGTTCTGACAGGAAGAACTAAAAGGAAGTTCTCTTAAAACTACAGTCATGGGGATTTCAACTTAGCTTGGATGTTCCTGTGTAGGAAAACCAAACATCCTTTCCCTCATTAGCATTGCTGGGGTTTACCTAAAGACTCTGTTAAAGCACTGAAAGCCTATTAGGATTTCCTCTCTCTGAAGGCTGACTGCATTGTCATTAAAGGGGGAAAAGTTAAATTTGGGAAGCATTGTTTTTTCTGCTCTTTTAACAATCCTTATGTTTTTACTAAAGAAAAGACCTGCAGGATCATAGAGTCCAACCTTTGGACTGTATAAATACGACTATCAAGTGTAATTGGCTATTGTGAAAAGTAGAATTATAGGATAAAACACTGTATTTGCTCATTTCCTTTCTGAGCCTTGTCTTTGTTGTATTTATTACTCATCTTGTCCTATTCCAAGGTGATGGTTTTCCTGAGCAATGCTCATGTTTTTGCAATATTTGGTTCAGTGCAGTCTGTCAGACTGTTCAGTGACTTACAGCTTCTTTAAAAAGAATGAAAGCTGATGCAATAGGAATTGGTACATCCATCCCTTAAACATCACTGAGAAATAATTTGGATCCTTAAACCTAAAATGGAGGATCTTTCCCAGCCAAAGTGGTTTTTTAGAGCTTCCACGTCTGCAGAGATGCACTCTTGCCATGCTGTGGAGCTGAGAAAAGAAATCTCTTCCTCCTGAGGTGCGTAAACTTCTCAACAATTAATATTATAGAAAAGCCTATAAATATTGCAGAAACTGATATGTTTGTTGATTGAGGTTCAGCTATATGCTTACTGCAATTTTCAAATAAACAGAAATGGTAAACTTCTGCTCAAAAGCATTTGAGGGTGAATGAAGAGTGTGAGATTTACAGTAAACTACTTGTTTGTTTGCTTAATTACCCAGTGTTACTGATTTAATTAGAACAAGCCATTTCCAAAGGTATTTTGGTGTTTATACAACTTTTGCCTGTGTTTTGCGAATAGAAAAGAAAAAAAAATCACACTGTGCTAGGATATACAGTGTATATAGAGGCTTCATGAATAATGAAAATGATCAGCCATAAAACTGCTTAAACTGAACTATTTACTTCTCCTTTACTTCCTTCTAAGGAAAACTGGCCACCACTTATTTTAGCAGTAAAACGCCCCAGTAAATTTATTGTGATGTGGAAGGAATTTAATCTTATCCTACTTAAAAAAAAAATATATGCCCTACATCTGCAGTGTCTTTCATTATATGGAATTAATGAATAATTTTAATGAATATGTAACGAATAATTTTAAGGATCCTAAACTGCATTCAAGGTGATAAACAAGGCTTAAGCTAGGAAAATGAGAGAGTTAAGAAGCTTAAATTATTGGACTGAAACAGTGGATCTTACTACTCCTGAAGATATTCTGTACAAAAACCAGAGTGAGAGACTTGATGTCTTTCTTGCCAAGCTGGAAAATAAAAACATGTCTGAGGATGTTTCCGATTGTGGTGCTGGGATAAGGAGCCCTGTTGTGAGAGATTAGATGCAAATTCTGTCCCTGTGATCTTTTCTTAACAGTGATAATGAGCATAATTAGAGGACTCTGGTAGAAGGTCAACAACTCTTGCAGAACCTCTGGGAATTTTAAAGCTTATGGATTTTTTTGGTTTGTTTGTTTTGTTTTCTCCCAGTTTCTAATTAAAAGTCTTATCTCCTGAATATTTTCCTGAAAATGTACCAACAGCCACGACTTTCCAAGCCTTCAGGTTGAGGCTGATCTATTCTGGGAAGAGTTGTGGATACCTGAGGAGGACTTGTCAGTCTGCTTTTCATTGTCAAGGGTTCATTTCATATTCCCAGCCTAGACTGTAAGCTGGGACAGACTCCAAGCTACCTTAAGTGTCAGGACAGCACCAGAAAAGTACCAGCTGAGCTAAAATACCAAGGAAAATTTAAAAAATGCTCTTCAGCTCTCAACATTTGCTCTGATGAGCTTTTAGCCAGGAGCTTTCATACCTGCATAATCTTTCTGCTGTCTCGTGTAAAATTAGAAGTGCACGTGGTAGCAGGAAAGAAAATTAAGTACTTAATTTGCCTGTGTCATTCTGAGGCCAGATGGTACTGGGAAAATAGCATGTTAGCTGGCAGTGACACCACTGTTCTTCCTGCCACTGGATGGCAATGTTTGATTAAAAAACCCCTAACTATGCATGAGGAAATAAAACTAATCCCCTCTTTTCTTGGCAGAGGAGCCACACAACATCCCTTGGGTATGTGGCTTTCTGAAATCTGAAGAGGAGGAAAATATTATATTGCATTACTGCAACTAAATTTCTTTGCTCTGTTTGTTATTGTTGTTCCAGTACTGCTTAGAAACCTCTTGGGCTTTGAATTTCAGTGTTAGATGCTGTAGAAAATTCACACTTTATGTAAGCGTTGGTTGCAGACAGTTCTCTGTGAGCTCAGCAATATGAAAAGCCCCAATCTCGGTGCCCCCTTTGCTACACTTGACTCAGGCTATAAAAAGCAATTCAATAATTAGTATATATGAATTTTGCTACAATGAATATGTATAATTCAAATCCCACAGGTGCACCAAATCCTAAAACACCCTCTTGTGTCATGCAAGGTCACCAGTATTGTTTGTCAGACAAGATTGAGTTGAGTGAAACAAATACAGGTTAATAGAACTATTCCTGCTTACGTTTTGAATGTATAATTTATGACTGGCACTTAGAATATATTTAATTGGTTGAGTTAAAGGGACTATTTAATAGTCCCTTTATATATAATTTAACTTTATTTATAATTTATATATATATATAATACATATATATATAGCTTAATACTTATATATAAAACTTAATCCTATAACTTCAATAGAGGCCAGTGACAGATGACAAGG